GAAATGGATGGCGACTTAAAAAATGCATCCCGTATTTTATTCTCAGACGACATCCTGGCTCCTCGTAATGTCGAAACTCTTGAAAGCCTTCGTCAGAAGCATCCTTCGGTCAAACTGTCTCAGGATTTACTGCTGCCTCTACTCTATGCAACCTTTACAAATTTCGAAAAAATACACTTTAGAAGCAATTATGTCATTTTCGAATGGCTCTGCTGGCGGCATTGACGGAATTACGCCTCAACATCTTAAAGATCTTGTAAGCGCTTCTGCCGGTGACGCCGGCGGAGTACTTCTTAAAGACATTACAAAATTATGTAACTTTATGCTTACTGGTAATGTTAATCCAAATTTCATTCCATTCTTATATGGGGCAAGATTATGTGCCTTCAAAAAAAAGGATAACGGTATCCGTCCTATTGCCGTTGGTTCCACATTTCGACGCTTAACTTCAAAATTAGCTTGCAGGTACATAATCTCTAACCTTAAGACCAAATTTCAGCCTACTCAACTAGGTTTTGGCACTAGAGGTGGCTGTGAGGCGGCGGTACATTCAGTGCGTACATTTTTAACAAACTCTGATGCAGATGTTCTTGTGAAGGTTGACCTAAGGAATGCTTTTAACTCTATCGATAGGGTAACCTTGCTGAAAGAAGTGGCTAACAATACCCCCGAAATTTATCATTACGTTTGGCAATGTTATAGTCAAAATACTAACTTGTTTTACGAAAACCATGTTATCGATTCTGCTGTTGGTGTTCAGCAGGGTGACCCTCTGGGTCCAGCGCTTTTCAGTTTGGGAATTCAACCCATTATTTCAAATTTGAAATCCAAGCTGAATGTCTGGTACCTAGACGACGGTACACTGGGAGGTAGAGCAGATGACGTCCTCAGCGATCTTACTCATATTTTTCGAAATTTTAAAAATATTGGCCTTGAACCAAATAGCAATAAATGTGAAATATTTTTTTCCAATAATTTATCTACTTCTCATAGAGACACTTTAATTCAAAATTTTAATCATATTTGTCCAGGAATAAAAACTGTCAATACGGAATCACTATACCTGCTAGGTGCCCCGTTGTTTTTCGATAGTATTAAACCTGTTTTAAAAACAAAATTTGATCAGATTTAAACCACGTTGATAAATTGTATAAATTAAACCCCCACATAGCTCTTACTATTTTAAAATATTGTCTTCTTGTACCTAGATTTACATACTTACTCCGCTCGAGTCCAGTCTGGAAATGTTCGGATATTTTACAAGATATTGATAATAATCTTAAAATTGCTATGGAAAAAATTCTAAATTTAACTTTAAATACCACAGCCTGGACCCAAGCTACTTTACCTATAAAATTTGGTGGCATTGGTGTGAGAAATCTTTCTAGCGTTGCATTGCCTGCTTTCCTTGCTTCCGTGTATAGTGTCAGTGACTTATGTAACATAATTTTAAATAATAAAGTAGACCTATGCTTTGCTACGGCGGCAGGGCAGACATGGCAAACGCTCTGTCGTGGTGAAAATATTCCACTGGAAGTTAACCAACAAAAACAGTGGGATATTCCGTTGGTACAGGGCGTACAGAAGGATTTGTTTCATAATTTCCATAGTGACCAAGATAAGGCACGCCTTCTAGCTGTTTCGACTAAGGAATCTAGTCACTGGTTACACGCTTTACCATCAACTAATCTCGGCACATTACTTGATAGGGAAAGCTTGCGTATTGCCGTAGGAATCCGACTAGGAGCGGCGATTTGTCAACCCCATCAGTGCCCCTGTGGTAGCAGCGTCGACAAGTTTGGGCTCCACGGACTTTCATGTAAGAAAAGCGATGGTAGGTTTTCACGACACAGTTCTTTGAACGATGTCATCCGAAGGGCTCTTGCCTCTATAAATGTTCCCTCGGTTTAAGAGCCTTGTGGAATATTTAGAGACGATGGCAAGAGACCCGACGGTATGACATTGGTCCCTTGGGAGAGAGGTAAAGCTCTAGCGTGGGATGCTACTTGCGTAGACACTCTGGCGGTCTCTCATCTCAGGGGTACCTCGTTTAAAGCCGGGGCGGCATCAGAGGCAGCTGAACTGAGTAAGTGGCGCAAATATGAGTCTCTGAGAGATGACTACATATTTGTGCCATTTGCTGTAGAGACTATCGATCCGTGGGGTCCACGTGCAGTGAAGTTCCTAAAGGAACTCCATCCGCGGCTGGTCGCTGCTGCTGGTGATAAGAGGGCTGGTTTTTTCCTCGCTCAAAGGCTAAGTATAGCCATTCAGCGGGGAAACGCAGCCAGCGTTCTTGGCACGATACCGCGGGGAGTAGGACTATATGATAATTAAGTTTCTAGTTTTAGTTTTTTTTTATTATCATAGTTTTTAATTTTGTAGATAAAATTAAGTATTTTAACAAAATTAATTTGTTGTAAAAGTTACGAACCTTGTCGTCATTAGAAGAAATTTTCTTTGCTGCGTAATGCATTCTCACTTTTAAGTATTTTAAGCAAATAGATTTTATTAAAAGTGGGTAATGGCAATCTAAAAATTTCTGACTTTGAAAATGTTCATTAATTTGAGGGAAAAAATCTGTCTTCAACATTTTTTGAGGCACTCCTGCGAAAGACTATAAAAATTATCCTTTTTGTACAATTTTTTCATTTGACGAAATGTTTTTTCACTTATTTCGCAAATACATACAACGTCCTTACTGGGGTAGAGCAAGCCCCCTTTGTCTTTTTTTAACTGTATGCTGTAATATTTTTGAGAAATTAACGCAGATACACATTCTGGGCACTTTATTTCCCTTTTAAGCCTATGTACAATAAACCCCGCAATGTAAATAACGACCTGTTTGGAAAATTCTGTAAGTCTGCTTGGGTCTGTGATGCAGTCATGATCATTTATGGTACTAATTATATTTTCACTTTCGAAGCTTTCATTTTCAGAATTTGCATCATTAATATCATGAAAAACAATATTGAGCATGTAGAAAAAATATCCCTATAAAATTCAAAATTACAACAATAGTTAACAACATAAATTCAAAATCAAAATAGGTTACTAACTGGAATAAAAAGTGTAGGAATCACATTCGGCAACAAATATATCCTCTTGTGTGTTTTACGAAAATAACGCAACTCACGTTTCATATTTCACAGGTAATTTTTAGGGCTGCCATAACAAATAAAACTCCCTAATTTTCTTGATTTGTTCGTTTTTAGTTTTCTCGTCTCATTAATATCATAAATTTATAAAGCATTGTTTTTATTATCTTTTAGGCGTTTCTGAACTCACCATCACTCAAATAACTCAAGAGGGTACATAATGTAGCAGTAGCTTCATCTTCTAAAACTAGGAACCGGAGGAAAAAAAATATGATTTAGACGATTTTCATACGTGGCGCTATAAGGCAATTAAATCGTTTGAAGTTGTGAAGAATGAGATTCCTGACATAAATAAACTTTGGTTGGAATTGCAAGCTGATATTGATTTTAAATATGGCAGAACAATTTTGAGTAGTAGATTAAAGACTATGGGCTACGAATACAAAAGGTGCCAGTTTAAATGGATTAATTTATAATAAATGACACATCAGAGTTCTTATGAAGACTCTAGCATGGATTCTGATGAAGATGTGAGAATGGAAGGCGTTGACCCACTGCAGGACCATTGTAACACCAAATTTACATATAGATCTAACTATTTAATAAAAGATTTACAAGGTTTCCATAGACTTTTAATTTCGTTCTTTATAATAGATATTTTTAAAATACCTTTTTTGAAAAATTTATTATAGACAAAATATCAGTGTTGATGAATCATAATAGTCATTTCTAACACGCATATAATATCTGCACCTATAATTATGTAAAAATATTTGAAAGTTAAATTTGACCAACTTTTAGGTTTTCGATGGAGCGGAAATTTTGCATATACGTTAAGTTTAGATGAAAATAAGTGACCTCGTTTTAAATCCAATATGGCGGACTTCAAAGATGGAGGACTAGTTATTTTTTGTGCATTCCAATGACATGGATATCAAATAAAAGGCTTTGCTGGGAAGAATACCAAACATAAAAGTGAAGCGTGCTTATTGATTTTTTTTTCTCAAACTCGCTCGCATAAATTAAACGTTTTCAAATGTTTTTAATGAATAATTTATATTAACTTAAATCCTACCATAAAAACTTGTGATGTGTAGTGTCAAACTTACGGAAGTTACAATCAAGAAATATATTTATTATGCGAATTTTAAACAATAAATATAAGGTTTAATATTTATTAGGTCTTTATAAGTTTAAGCTGATCATTACAGTTTTTTTTTAACATAGTTTTGGTAATCAGTTCGGTAATTTATGTAATTTGATATAATTATATAATTCTAGTAATAAGATTAAATGAAGGAAAAAATATTAGTTAAGCTGGTAACATTAAGTACGCCATCAGTCGCGCTCGCTGGTATAGTATATATTATGCAGTGTGCAGCTACAGAATGCAGATAACCTCGGGACTCAGGAGTTTTGGCGGGAACGTGACGGTTTGCTGCTCCCGTATTGTAGTTCAAATTATAGTTTGAAGTGGATTTTGATATGTAAAAGTGGTGCGATTTTGTGTATTAAGTGTCTGCGTATGTAAACTATTAGTGGAAACGGTGAAAAAAGTGCTCTGATGGTTGATTCTCAAGTTGTCTGGTTGCTTAGGCGCTTTGAGATACCTTCGCCAACTACCAGCTGTCTGCTGGCTCAAGTTCTAGGGCTACACAATGTGTGAATTGTGAAGCAGTATACTGCGAAGGATAATTATATATTGTAACTTCAGGCTCAGAAAGGCTAGAACCCAGAGTCGTAAAGCCAGTTATAAAAAAACAGATAACCTCGCCACGCTTTCAGAATATATTTATTTTATATAAATTTTGGGTGTTTTTCGTTCTCTTTTTTATTTTTTTAAACGTGCATTTAAATAAGTCAATATAAATTTAGTATTCCATCTTCTTGTAATTGAATAACATGAGCTGTTCTAGGGGGAATACTAACCGGACAAGAGCACAAAAACATCAAAATAAAACTGCGTTCAAAAATGATTTGCACGATTCTAGCAAGAAAACAAAATTTTTAAATACTTTACAAGTAACTGGCGTATGTTTACGATGTAAAGAAATCATTGAATGGAAAATAAAATATAAAAAATATAAACCCTTAGCCGCACCAAAAAAATGTGTAGGATGTGACCAAAGAACTGTTAAATTTGCGTATCATGTGTTGTGTAATAATTGTTCAGCAGAGAAAAAAGTTTGTGCTAAATGCGTTAAAGCAATGGAAGTAAGTAATTTTCAGTGGAATTTTTGATGGTAAAGGTACACCCAACTAATAACTTATATTTATTACAGAGTACAGAAACAACAATTGAAGTAAATGTTGATGAAGATAAAATAAAATCCATTTTAAAGCCATTGTCAGAAAGGAAAAGACGTGCAATATTAAGGTTTGTTGGTTTATTACATCTTTGTTACACCTTTTGTTGTCAGGAGATAGGACTCGCCTTAACACTATATGAACTAAAGCAAGTGTTTATCTTGTATAAGAGTACAAGAGTAGAATCATCACCAGTTCCAGTGTAGTGAAATTGTCAATTGCAATATTAAGTGTTTATTTATCATGTGAAGACAGTTACTGTTACTGATACAGCCTATTAAAGTTCACTGCTGAACATAGGCCTCCCCTATAGATTGAATCATAGGGGGGATATTTGCCATAGCTGCCACGCTCTGCATGTGGGCTTTTTATTTTTAGTTGTTATTAAGAAGACATTGCTGCCCATCTCCTAATTTATTTCCCTCTGTCACATTTTACAACACAAAGGATATTCTTACACCGCCACTACACGTATGAAATCTTTTCAAGGACCTATAAAGTCTTTCCGAGAAGGTGTCAGAGTTATGGTCCACAAAAAACTAAAACGGTAATTGAAAAAAAGAATGTTATTCGTTAAAAGTCATTCAATCAATCATTTAAACACCAACCTCGGCAAATCCAGATGAAGAGATAGAGACTATTTATGAAAATATATCTAGATCAATGCATACATTGACAATCTAGAAATTGGCAGAGAATCATCGGTTAAATGATGGAGTTCTTCTCCTTCTTTTAAATTATATCTTTCTTGATAGAATTCTGCCAGTGTCAAATCGGTAACGATGGAGTTATTTTTTCCTTAAGATAAGATAAAGAAGGTTCTTGTTCAGCTGTCATAGTATACAAACCGAATCTGCTTAATTCTGCGCAATCAGTGCTTAGTTCATGTGAGCCCGATTTGATTTTTCATCCCGAGCTGTTTGTTACCTTAATACACTACGTCGTAATATTGGAAAAAGTTGCCGCATCCTTAATTATATTTTGTTTTCAGAATATTTGTTAATTCAGTATCATCATCATCATTACAACCCTTCACAAGTCCACTGCTGAACATAGGCCTCCCCCAAGGAATGCCACAAAGCACGGTCCTGAGCCACCTGCATTCATCGACTTCCTGCATATCTTACCAGGCCGTCACTCCATCTAATGGGGGGACGCCCTACACTTCGCCTTTTTTCCCCATCGGTTGTTGGTTCTTTAAGCTATATGGCCGGCCCATTGCCACTTCAGCTTACTAATCTGTTGGGCTATGTGAGTCACTCTGGTTCTACTGTGGATATCCTCATTTCTCAGTTTATCACGCAGCGAAACTTCGAGCATAGCTCTCTCCATAGCTTGTTGTGAGACCTTGAGCTTCCTCATCCGGCCAAAAGTGAAGGACCACGTCTCAGTTCCATATATCATCACTGGAAACACGCACTGGTTGTACAATCTCGTTTTCAAGTTTTGAGGTATACCTGACGAGAAGATGTGCCGTAATTTCCCGAAAGGTACCCAATATATTACAAACTTACACTTCTATTTTATTGCATATCAACTCAAGTTTCTCATCTATACATACAAATATGGATGAGTAACGTAGTTAATTTACTATAAAATTCCAACAAAAATAATAGCAAAAATAAAAAAGAACTCATAATGTGTTTCGTTGTAAATATTTAAATTCTTTTTTTCTATCCGTACACAAATCTTCAAGCAATTTCTGTTGAATTTTCCGACTTCCTAATCTGATTTTCTCTCGTAATATTTATATCGTCTCAGAACAAAAACCAGTGTTTCTTCAAATGAAATTTCTTTTCTAATTAAATTATTCATATTTTATGTTTTATTTATTTTTTATGTTTTAAAGTAACCGCGCTATTTTTGTTTTAAAGTAACCAAGCTATTCATATTCATACAATTATTATGTTACATTATGATAATGATTTTGTTATATTCTACTAATCCAGCGCTTATCTGCGATCCCACCTGATGATAAGTGGTGATGTAGCCTAAGATGGTGAAGAGCAGTGACTTAACAAAAGCCTATTCACTCTTGCCTTGAAGTCACCCTCACTTTAATCGGATGGAAAGACAGATGCTGGCAACTTATTCTACTCCTTTGCTGTACGCATGATGAACGACGTAGCGAACCGTTTGGTTCGAATGCGTGGTAAATCAACAACTAAAGGGTAGAAACAGACCTCCCACCCGCTCTCGCATCTCATCCCAATCAGCTGACTTATACCGCCATATTCGTCGAACACCTTGGGACTCGTAATCAGGTGGAGAATATGACAATACAGATTTCACCAGACAGTAGTCAGATGTACCCATAGGAGAAGTAACCTGTACTTCATATCTGTCTGGTTCGGTAGTCAGCAGAAGGTCTAGGCAATTTGCTGTGTGACCGTCTACATCGGGTACCCTAGTACCTACCTTTACCATCTGAGAAAGACCTAGTGTCAAAGCAAAATTCCACGCTTCTCTTCCAGCATGGTCGGTCTTCTGGTATGGGAACAGCCAGTCTTGGTAACAAACGTTAAAGTCCCCCAGAAAGATCAACTGTGCAGTAGGATACCGATTTAGAGCCACGTCAGAAGCCTCACTAAGATGATCAAATAATCGTGTTGTCTCCTGGTCACCGCTGTGCGATCGATAGACACAGGCATAAAAGATTTTATCAATACTGTAACTATCATTACCCAGATTGTCGAAAAAGTGGGGTCTTCAAGGTGACTGAGACGCTGGAAGGAGATGTCATTGAGGACGTACACATATACTCCGACACGTGGATGGAATTTGTGCTCTAGGGAGTATCCGGGATAGTCAAGGTACGCCGCATTCAATGGACATACAATCTGCGTCATCGTCAAGAAAAGTAGGTGCGACTTCTCAGTCTCAAGAGTGCGCTGAGATTAGAGTGTAATCCTCGAATATTAGTGAGGTGCACTTTTAATGAGAGGACGTGCAACCGCTGTTTAACACTACTTTTCTTTTTAATGTACATATTAAGTGATTAATGTACATATTAAGTGATGAGAGTGAATAAGGATGGAGAATGACAGTTGAACGAGGCGTTGTATTAGCAACCAAACGATACTATCAGAGTTACTGTATCCATGGGAACTTGATCTGGAGACTGAGGGGACGCCCGAACACCCCTCCCCCCAGAGAGCGCCATCGGGTCCTCTCGCCCGGTCGCTAACCGGCACGATGGGGCCACCCTGGGATTTTTCGCTAGTTGGCGGGGCAGCCTTTCCTGAGTAACTAATTCACTAATTGGGCCCTCAACTACCTGCGGTCGGCCAGCGGAACACCGTGCTTCGGATCACGGCCACGACCAAGCACCCGACACAGCAACAACTAACGCTTCGTACCCGGTTTACATACACAACGCTACTGTTCAGATCCAATCTTCATATGTATTCTCCATATGATGGTGTTCCTAATTAAAATTTCTTAATAAAAAATTGAAATATAAATAATTCTTAAAACATTATTTATATATTGAATAGAATGCGACGCTATTTTGACCAACTTGGATAATGGGGGAGATTATCAATTTTACATACAGTTATGTAATTTTTTTAAAGAAAATCTACCTACCTGGGGTTAGGTTTGGCGTTGGGCGCTATACTTTTTGTCGCTTTGTACTTCGCAGGTATTTGTGTTTTAAACCAGGATATTTTTACAGCTTTATCGGTGTCAGTACTCGTGACCTTTAGATAGTTTTGTGTAGAAATGCGGGAATTGTATATGTGTATTTCACAGCCTGTGGATTTAATCAGACGATACATTTAAACATTACGTTGTTTATTAAAAAAAAATAGAACGTTTGATGCATTCCAATTACAATGACGCGTATAATGTTTAATATTTTAGGCTGACCAAAAATCAGACCTTCCAGCACGGCTGAATTAAGAAATGCTAGGTCGTTTAAATTTACCTAAACCTTAAATTTAAATTTAACGGTCATTTCATCAAGATTGCGTAAACAGTTGATGTAATTTTACCGATTTTAATAGCAGAGTTGAATCCGTCGATTGGCATCTCGGTCGAAGTTGGACTTACCTAGTCAGACTATTTGTCCCAGATAAACATATTCGTCAACAACGTCGAGCTTAGTGCTCCCAACAACTACCGGCATAGGTGTGACATGGACATTAAACATTATCTTATCTTTGTTTTGTCCATGTTTTTCTTAAGACCTATCCGTTGGGAAACACTATTGAGGTCATTGAGCATAGTGCTTAGGTCCTCCAGCGATTCTGCCATAAGGACTATATCGTCGGCAAATCGAAGGTGAGTGTTGTACTCGCCATTGATGTTGATACCATATCCTTTCCACTCCAGAAGCTTGAAAACGTCTTCCAATGCAGCGGTGAAGAATTTCGGGGATATGACGTCACCCTGAGATAGGTGTAATCTGCAATTGAATAGGTTTCGTATTCTGGTTCTGTACTCGGATAGACATTGTAGCTCTACTGTACTAGCACTTCAAAACTTCGATATACCGACAGTCAACTTGGCACCGCTAAAGGGACTACAACACCGCCCAAATTTTGACGGAATCAAAGGCTTTCTCATAGTCCACATACGCCAGACTTAGTGGCAAATTGTACTCCTCGTACTTCTGTACAATTTGCCGAAATGTATGTATGTGGTCTATGGTGCTAAGGCCTTTTCGGAAACCGGCTTGTTCGCGAGGCTGGAAATCGTCAAGTATCCGCGCGAGACGATTCGTAATGACTCTCGAAAACAGCATGTAGACGCGGCTCAGAAGGGAAATCGGTCTGTAGTTCTTCCAGAGAGCGTTGTCGCCTTTCTTGAAGAACAAGACCACCGCACTTCTGCTCCACGCCTCTGGTGTAATGCCACCATAGAGGACGGAATTAAAGAGCTTCTGAAGGACTTCAAGTACCGGTTTTCCACCCGCTTTCAGAAGCTCCGCTGTAATTCCATCATCGCCTGGGGCCTTGCCGTTTTTAAGGTGCTGGAGAGCCATTCTAATCTCGCTCAGACTGACGCCTGGGATATCATCAGAATAATGTCGGATAAGACTCGCTCTTGGATCGTTACTCACACTTGCGTGTGGTTCCAACGATGATGTGTACCCATAGAACCTCTCAATCTCACTCAAAATCTCAGGTGTCCCGGAAACGACGCTGCCACACTCGGTATTCAGCTTCGACAGTTGGCTCTTTCTGGCAGACAGATCTCTGGCAAAGACTTTGGAGCCTTGGTTCCGCTCGATCGCTTCTTCAATACGAGCAGTATTAAAGTTGCGAAGTCCCGCCGCATGTATTTGGAGATCTGTCTGTTCAGTCGCCTGTATGCTGTTAAATCTACTGAAGACTGCAGCTTCATATCCCGTCTAACAGCCATGAGATTAAGAGTGTGATCGGAGAGTGTTTGTGTTCTTCTGTGGCGGGTCTTGCAAAACTTAGCTACGACCGCATGGACAGTTTCCACGAGCTTGTCATTCATATCGTCCACTGCATTGCAATCTTCTAGGCACTGAAAACGGTTTCGTAGCTCGAGCTGAAAGGTTTCGGGACTTTGGATTAGAGCATGAGGGGGACGGAGCGTTGACTTCATTAGACGTGACCTCTCCAAATTAACGTTTAGGTTCAGTGTGCCACTCACCATCCAGTGGTCGCTGCCGGTTTTCACCCTCGCTATCACTGCGACATCACTGAACAGTTGTCGTCTGATCGTCATAATGAAGTCAATCTCATTTTTTGTCGAAACGTCGGCGCTCGACCAAGTCCACTTCCTGTGGGGCCGCTTCTGGAAGAAAGAGTTCATCATAAAGAGTCCCTCTTTCTCCATGAAGTCTGCCAGCTGCTGGCCCCTTGGGTTCCGTTGCCTTATTCCGAATTTCCCTACTTTCAGCTCACCGTTCTCTCTTGTGCCTAGTTTTGCGTTGAAGTCTCCCATTAACACCGTATAGTGGGTTTTGGAGAAATGCATGGCTCTAGAGATATCCTCATACATTTCCTCCACCTCCTCATCGGGGTGTGCCGAGGTTGGTGCGTAAACCTGTACGACCTTCAGCGAATACCGTTTGGTGATTCTGAGTATAAGGTACGCAACCTTCGTCGACACACTCCCAATCTTTAACACACTCCCAATTTTTTTTGTAAATTCAGTATGAAAGTTGACAATTACTTTGTTTTCAATTTGACTAGATACTTGTTTGGTTGCTGCGATGTTTAGACTGAATCTGTTTAATTCTACGCAAACCGTGTCTGATTTGTCCGGTCCTGATTAGATCCTTCACTTTTTAGTTAGTTCTTGTTCCTTTCTTCTTCTTCAGCCTGTAAAAGTCTACTGGTGTCTCACTCGTCTTAGTTTAGTTATATTTAATACACTTTTATATTACTTGTATACCATTTTAAAAGCATCGTGTTTTGATATTCATTACTTTCAACTTGATTCACACTTTCTTCTTTTATATTTCAGGTACATAAACAAACAAGAAAAAATAACTGATGAAACAATATCAAATATAGAAGATATATTACTGGAAATGGACAACATTAATATCAATGATTGTAATAACAGTAATTCTAGTATTGTGGATAGTTCTTCTGATGATGGGGATGATTTTAAAGTGGAGAAATAAAAATAAATAAATATTTATTTTTACAGTATTTTATTTATAATAATAATAAATTGTTAATTTAAACTCATAAAAATAATATTTATTACTCAAATAATGCAATAATAAACATTTTTAATGGCGGCATTGATATTATTTCTTTTTTGTTTGTTTTGTTCTTTAAATAATTAAACAATCAAAGCAATCTAAACACCTTAAAAGTTGACTAACTTCCTAAAAGGAGGAGGTTCTCATTGCCACTGTGTTTTTTGTATGTAGGTATGTATGTTACGCGATATCGTTGTCAATGAATGTGAGCGATTTTGACGATTCTTTTTTATTAAATTGGTTATACTCCAGCCCGATGAACATTTGAGAAAAAATCACTTCCTAAGGGTGGCAACATAGGTGGAAGTTTTAATGCAACTATTTAGACAACATTGGAATTGTGATATTCTTTAGTCCAAACAAAAGTATAAAAACTTAATTCTTAATAGTGTCTTGGCGGTGTAAGAATATCCACTACCCAACCCGTCAATGAACAAATAAATATGTAGCAAGCTAAACCCGCCTGCGACCAACAATGGCAAATATGGGGGATATTGCCGCTGAAAGAGTGAAATAGGGTGCTACAGATTGTAAATAAATAAAACTAAATTAACTTTTATAGAGAATTGAATACGATAAAATACGTAGTTTTATTCAACACCTTTAATTTTAGAATAGAATAAAATATTATAGAATGAGTGTTTTAACAAGCTTTTATTTAACTTCAAAAAAAAAAGATTAAGGATCCAAGTCAAGGTGAGGACGTGCCGAGGGATGAGTGGCATCAGTGTCTAAAATGATGTGACCGTAAGTACTTCCTCAGGGAATTGAGACGCATCGTGTTGTATAATAGGCCTTGCTCTTTTTCTTCAAATCTCTTAGAGGGTTGATTGTAATTTCTGCGGTACTCGCGGGAGTAAAATTATAAAAGGAAAAAAGCTTGTAGAAAGCATAGTTCGTTTAATAATACCATTATTCACATCGTACAGCCCTATCTGTGCAGTTTCAGGCCAGATATACGAGAGCGACACTGAAAGTTTTTAGAACTGGCCACTTAACGATATAATAAAAAAATAAGTTCAAATTTTGAAAATGGAACTCTGCTAATATTATTGTGTATGTATTTTATTAATTTGTCATTTGTTTACGATTTGGCGGCAAATTGAAAATTGTCTGTGTCACGTCAGCATGAATTTAATGCGAGAAAATTTTCGTACAACGATTTTTTATGACTCGATGTCATTTAAGTCAGCAAGAAAGTTATGATAGACTTCGATTCACTTTTCACGATGAAGCCCTATTTCGTGCCACTATTTACAACTGGTTTAATAAGTTTAAACGTGGTCGCACTAATCTCACCGATGATCTGCGTGAGGGACGGCCTTCTACGGTGATAACTGAAGATAACATCAGTGTTGTGCGGCGTATGATAGAGACTGACAAAAGAGTGACTTATCACCAGATTCGGACAAGCTTAGGCATCGGTATGAGTCAAGTGCACAAAATCCTCCAAGAACATTTAGCGGTCAGGAAGCTTTATGACCGGTGGATACCTCAAAAACAGAGGATCAAAAACTCCGTCGTGTTGATTGGTGTCGTGAAATGCTTTAAAGATTTAACGGAGGTGACTCAAATGCTGTGTTCGACATACTTACGGGTGACGAAAATGGAATTTATTATTATTATCCTAAAATTAAGAGACAGTCTGCTGTCTGGGTGTTTCCTTCCGAGGAGTTGCCAACTAAAGTGAAGAGAGGTCGACGCGTGGGGAAAAAAGATGGTGGCCCCGTTCTTCGGAAGGACAGGTCATTACGCAACAAATGTTTTAGAGGATCGAAAAACAGTTACTGAAGAGTGGTATACTAGCAATTGTTTGCCACTTGTCTTGGAAAAAGTTTGGGAGAAATGACCTCGCAGTATGATTCTCCTTCACCACAACAACGCCTGGTCGCACACAGCTGGGTAACCCGTCTTGACCTCGCACCTTGCGATTTTTATTTATTTCTGAAAATAAAAGAAAAACTTTGAGGAAAACGTTTTAGGGACGCCGAGGAAGCAGTGACTGCGTTTCAAAATGCCGTCAAAAAGATCCCTAAGGACAAGTGGGCAAAGTGCTTTTCTCAGTGGTTCCATCGAATGCAGCATGTATTGATGTAAATGGACACTATTTTGAAAAGATATAATAAAACTAATAACTTACTAGTTTATTCAGTTTTTCATTTTCTAAGTAACTTCCACTGTCACTCTCCTTGCTAGGGCACTGCGGAACGAAGAATGTTGTCAATTGTATTATGCTGCGTTTCTACAATGTATAAGATGCAGGAGAGAACCTACTGTTAACCATGCGGTGGTTTATTTGGATTCAAAACTCTTTGCTGCCGGGCAAGCGTTTGTACATGTAGTAGACTTAAATCTGTATACAGTCTTAAATTGAATTTCTTAATAAAAAGGCGCTAATAATTAACTAAGAGTAATAAATATTTATATTTCAAAACAAGCCTTTATCAAAATACTCAAAAAAGGGAAAAAATAACCTATGGAGTTCATAATGTTGTATAACAAGGGTTGAATATGGCTAATCTATAGAGGTGTCATCAGCAAAAGTACGATAAAATATAGAGACACGTACTGTTATGTTCTAAAAGCTTGTCACTTAATATCCTTAACCTACCCCATATAATAAACCTCGCAACAGTGGCTTGTTCGGGACTGGAAGTTAGCAAGTCTGCGTGCGAAAAGATTAGTAATGCCTCCCAAAGACAGCATGTAGACGCGGATATCGGAATAGTGTCTTACCCTCAAATCTCTTGTTACACTTGTGTGTGGCTAGAACGATGATGTGTACAGCTGTTTGTAGAATCTCTCGATCACACTCAAAATTTTATGTGTCCTGGAAGCTACCACAGTCGGTCTTCAACTTCGAGCAGCCTTAGTTCCGCTCAATCGTTTCTCCAATAGGAGTTAAAGTTGCGTAGGTCTCGCTGTATGTATTTAGATTTGTGTATTCAGTTGCACGTAGGCTGTCATAACTGCTAGAGACTGTATGTCGGAGAATAATTTACCGTCTAATAGCCATGAAATTAACATTATGATCGGAGAGATTGGACAGACCCCATGTCTGCGATGAGTCTGGTCGACCTCTAGGGTTCCGTTGCTTTATTCGGAATTTTTCAATATTTAGCTCACCGTTCTCAATTGTGCCTAGTTTTGAGTTGAAGTCTCAAATAGATATCCACTACGTTTTAAGAGGAATGAAAGGCTCTAGAGATATCCTCATTAAATTTCTCCACCTCATCGCAATCTACAAAACTGCCTAAACACAAATGGAGAAAAGTCATGAGTGGAAAACGATGAAAGTTAGACAAATGTTGTTGATATTGAAATAGTATCCGATGCTGATTGAATCGACATCTATTTATAGATAGCCTGGCCAAAGTAAATGACTAGCATCTAAGAAGTTGGGACCAGTATATAACTGTTTTTGTTGTCTTGTCAGTTTGCTATATACGACAGCGCCAATGTCGCGCCTGCCAAAATAAATTATGGACGCAATAACTGATTCTTCACCGAATTGTCCAGTCAGTGAATGACTACGTGAGTGAGCGGCGTAAACAACTGAAAGTAAAGTATAATTTTAAGATTAGCGAGAGCAATAGCAGCGTAGACATAAAACATAGACATACGAAATCTGCCTATAGAGTTCATTGATGATATGAATGATCATGTTGAAGTTGTACACCAAGTCAACGTCATCAACATCAACCCGTCTCCTTTTTTGAAGAAAACATTTTGATTGAAAATGAGTCTGAAATATTACGTCTTAGTCACGGAATTGATGACTTGAACGCACCTCAACTGAAGGGAAACATTACCGAACCAACTCAACAATACAAGATATTCTGCCGAAGCAAAAACGCCTCAAAGGAAAGTTGTCAGAAATATACAAAGGGCAACTTTTGTCCTAACATCTAATGAGTGGTTTAAAAAACAGGTTGAGAAATGCAATGAAACTAAAAGAACAAATAAAGAAAAGAAATCAAGATAGAATACAAAAACAGAAAGAAAAAAAGAAAAAAAAATTAACGTTACGTAAAAACTTCAGTAAAAGAGAAAAACAGCAAAAACGAAAATAGTATCAAAGAAGAGAATAGCAAATTCCCACCAAAAAACAAATAACTGTTTTAATCTGATGTTACCATTAACATTCCTTTAGAGAGAAACATTGAAATGAAAGTAGATAATAAATTTGAAGTAGTGGTAAGGGATTCCCAAAGTGAGACAGAAAGTGAAAGACATTTCCTTGATAAAATTATTAAAAATAAAAAGAAATTGTACACAATAGAAGAGCTATAAAAGAAACTCGCAGGTGACTAGTTATGGCTTATGATTTAAGAAAGAAAACTACATATAATGTAAGAGAAATTTTTACTTTTGTAAATAAATTATTTTTCTACTTAATTAAAATTTGTTTATCTGTGATAATCCCAGGTATCCTATTTTTTTATAGTGATTTTACCATTTTAAAAATTAAAAAAAAATCTGTGTCGATAAATAGGTCAATGGGTGCTAGTAATTGGTAATTATACTACTGTCAAAGAAAAAATAGGCGTTATTTTGATTAAAGCACCATAAAACATAATAAATCTATGAAATTCGTAGAAAAAATGGCTTCTCTAAAATATTTATTCACTCGTAAAATAAGATCCAAATGTATTTAATTAATTGCCGAATATATGGACTTTGGTGTATTAAAAGTGAGTTTACTGATAGAAAGGCTTGAGAAGAATTAATCAATATGTATATTGACTTATCTATTTAATATATAAAAAACCTACGAGACTATAATTTAGTTATGTATAATGCGTTATTATATTTTGTGTTTGTGTATTAATGCCTTATTACAAAAAAAATATGATATATTGTACTTTTAACGATTGTTCTAACATTTTCATTTAACTAGAATGTCCTACATTTATATATATATATATATTCTGGTTTATTCGAACTTTACCTTACTTTAATTAAGGCATTATATATATATATATATATATATATATATATATATATATATATATGTATATGCGTGTGCCGACGGTCATTGAATTATTAGTGAGCCCTACTCCGGAAGTGTCGACCGATCATCATCTGCGAATATTAGGGGCCTCAGGACACTAACAATATTCAGGAAGATGACGTGCTCATCTCCTTTTTCATTTCCCTCTGTCGCCTCTGACAACATCTAGGAGATGATATGAGATGTTGAATTATGTTACAACGCCACCCATACGCAAATATAATGGTTAGTAATTTTATTATATAATAAGGCTACTAAGAACCGGGACCAGATTTTTTTTTATAGGATAGGGTGACAAACGAGCACACAGTCCACCTGATGGTAAGTGGCTACTGTGACCCATAGACATCTAAATTTATCATCAATAAAGACTCAAGATGCAGATGCGTTGCCACCCGTGAGGACTAAGATGGAATGCCTCTTTGCCAGTAATAAGGGTCTCAGGTTCTCTACACTCACCATACGAAACACAGCAGCGTTAAGCTGCTATTTTACGCTGGTTTTCTGTGAGAGCGTGGTCCTTCCCCGGTCGAGCCGACCCATTATAGGAAATCAAGTTTTCTCAGACGTTGAAGTGGCTAAGCTAACTAAATATATAGGAAGTAGTTAGTGCTAAAGCTCGTTTACGAATTTGCTGTGTAAATAAAAAAGTTATAATTTCGTGAGTTAAAAAAAATAGATGTTTCAACTCACGAAGTGGGGCGAGCAAGGAGTACTTGCAGTTGTGTGTGTAGATACGTGATCTAGAGTGCGTAACTGCAGGAGGCATTAACAAGCTCATATTTTTTAAATACAAGTAGTTGTGTTTCCCTAATGCACTACTGCTCATAAGTATATATATATATATATATATATATAGGCAGGTTCAGGCGATATTGATCTGTCCCGAGCTTACGCAAAGCCCAACCCCGGAATTAAAAAATCGATGTTTTATATCAAGTCTTTTGAGTAGTTGGCAATATGAAAGCGAAAAATGACTTAACTTTTCTTATATTAAGCATAGGAAATAGCGTTTTATTTATTCAGATTACCCAAAAAAGCAAATTTTATATCTACTCTACCCGGGTCAAATCAATCTGATGAAGGGACAATTGATAACATAGGTAATGTTTTGGAAAAAGAGCAGAAAAATATCAAAAATAATCTATTTCGTTGACTCAAGAATACATGAAGATTAACTTCTATATTTCACAATAATTAAGATAAACATATGTATTTTAAATCACATATATTATAATAATAAACTCCCAAAAAAATTTTATAGTTCCTATATGAGCAAAAATAAAAATGGATAATCAATTCTTGGTTGCCGATTCGGCTACCAAACATGGCAAATATCCCTGTAAAAGGAAATCTATGAAGGCCTATATTCAGGATAGGCTGTAATGATAATAAATGTAATAAGGGTCCTTAAATGATACAATTATAAATTATTATTTATAAAAAATATGAAATAAGTTAGTTATTATTTATATTAAGTATTTAACTAAAGAAAAAAACATCGTAAGAAATTATTCTCGAAGAAATCTGGCGGTGTTTTTTGGTAGTTTATTCTACCATCACGTATTCGCTCATTTTAAAAGGGTAATTAAAAAAAAAAAACTTACAAATTTCTTACGTCGGAAAAATAAATATAATTCAATCGTCAATTTTAAGATAAGCTTTACTAGATTAACATTTTTAGTCTCTCTTCAAAACAATAAAGTAATATTATCTATCAGGTGTTTTACGGTACATTTTAATAGATTAGGTTTTTTGCCATGTATTTGGCATTATATGAAATGTATGTAGTGCTCGGTCCAACTTTCTTTGCTGATCTAAACTCGTACCTCTAATATCTTAATGCATCCGGTGGAATGATAACAAATTTATATAAAAAAATATAAACAGTTAAAACTACAATTAACAAAAAAATTATACATTTTTACAAACCATAATCGCTATTAAGTTTAGCTATGAATATGGATAAATTTATATTTACAAAAATTAACGATTAATGATGCCATATTATTAATATTTTATAAAGTTTATAAAATCAATATTGATCATTTTAAACAACTATGCTTAAACTCTTCAGACATTGCAGAGGATAACATATTAAAAATGTTTTTTACAATCTATACATATAATAAAACTGTAAATAGCAGATGTCTGTACATTTTATATTTTTGTAATAAAAGTGATTGAGGGGTACTAAAAATAAGTAATTAAATACATTTCTACCATTTTTAGAATTTTCTGTCTGTCTGTCTGTCTGTCTGTCTGTCTGTTTGTTTGTTAACGTATCACGTATAAAGTACTAATTTTTATCATAAGAATTGTTAAGGAAATTATAAAGTGTATCTTCGGGTTACATTTAGTCTTTATTTCATTATAATCAGTTCATTCCATCAAAAGTTATGATAAATATTCTGAAGTATGGGTAGGGAAGTATAGGTACGAATTTGCTCAACGGTGGCTTTGTTTGAGTCATCAAGTGCATTTTAAACTAATATCATATCATAAATCATAGTTAAATTATGTAAAATAATGTTATAATTATGTATATCTAAAACGCAGTAAACAAAAGTAATAAAGAACGTATTAAATATATTATACAAAAATATATTAACCTTATTTTATTTTATTTATTACTTACTACTTATTTATCTTATCTTATTTTTTGCTTACTGTGCAGGCACTGATTTATAAGTTCTCTTACGTTTTATATAATGTATCAATCGCGTCAATTAATCTCTTTTATTTTTAGAATTGATGATGTTAGCAGCGCCATCTCTCTTTAAATATATACATATAATAAAAATGATGATAACATGTTGTGTCTCTTTCTGTACATTGTATATATATTTTGGTGGCTAAAATCATTATGAGGAACTGAAAATAATTAAATAAGAACATTTTATAATTTTTAGAATTGTCTGTCTGTCTATTTGTCTGTTATTATATGAACGCATCACGTCTAAAGTAAACATCTTTTATTTTCAAAGAAATCGTTAAGAATATCATAAAGCGTATCTTCGAGTTACATTTAATCTTTGTTTTATTAAAATTGGTTAATTCTATGGAAAGTAATGATTATTATTTTGAAATGTAGGTTCGAATTTGTTCAATGGCGCCATAAAATCTCAGATATAATAATATAGAAATAGTAATAAAAAGATTTCTGTGTAAAAAAACGTTCCATAATAATTAATATATTCATACTTAAAACACAAAAAGAGATAGGATGTTTTCTCACACAAAGGACGTAATAGATGGAGTTGTACAAATTACAAACTTTTCTGAATTGCTGTGTTGAGATTTTTCGCCGATAAATCGTATTGAGACTTACTGAAGAAATTTGTATCCATCGAAGCCGTACAACGAAACCCGACCAAAAATAAAAATTTTGCAACGAAATGTCGTGATATTGTATTTATAATATACGCAAAATCAGAACTGCCATTTTAGCGCTTTGGGAACTAGATTTAGCACTTTTTTGGAATGTATAGCGCGCATTTCGAAATTTTAGCACCTAGCGCTTAATCCAGCGTTTTTGGTGTATTTAGCACACATTTCAATGCGACTAGCGGGTTATTAACTCTTTTATAGCAGCACTGTTAGTCCACATTACCGATAATAATAATAATGACCTTTATTATTTTTTCCCGCAAATAGTACATTGCAGTTTATCTTTTTCAAACATATTTTTTCCACAAAACAAAGAGCATGGGAGACGAGTCCAAACTAGGATACCCTGTGCTATGGATCTCCTGGCTTCCCCTTTAGGATGATCAACTTGATTTTTTTACCGACGACTATAAGCGGGGAAATCCCCTTTATTAAAAATTTTCGTTCATGGTTTTGGCAACGCATTTATTTTGCTTTATTCAGTTTCAGTCAGTTGCTTAGAGCACAGCTAAGTTAAAAGTTACTTATAAGTTATAACACAAAGAAACTGTGTAGCAACCGCAATCAGATGCTGACATCTGAAACTAAGTTGCGAAATACATTGCACTTTAAAACAATAAATGACATTTTTATTGTTCGTACAGTACTAACTACTGTTGACAGCAATTATAAGTCGATGTCCTGCGAAGTATTGATACATCAAAAAAATATTGCCAGAAAAAAAACTTAATGTTGTTTTCTTTACTATGATTATTTAAAAAAACACAAACTTTGTTTGTAGTTAATTTAGCGCGAAATCTAGGGCTTTTTTAAAGCGCTGTTTTCATGAAATCTAGCGCTTTTTGTGTTGTCCTAGAGCTGAATGAGTTTTTTTTTATCTGGCAGCACTGCCCAAAAACCCTCTATTAAGAAGTAACTTTCCTTTCAGTTTTAAGCGCGTTCAGTTCCCAGTTACAGTGAGTGTGTGTTATGCGATGACCGTAAAGAAAGCGGAAGGTCAAACTTTACGCGTTGTAGGAGTGTACCTCAGTACTGACTGTTTTGCACATGGCCAACTCTATGTTGCTTTTTCCCGCGTTAGTAGCCCCCGTAACCTTTTTGTGTACACCCCGGCTAAGCCTACTTCTAACGTCGTTTACACAGAAGCTCTATCATAAACTACTTAGAACTTTGATGATAATGATTTATTTTGTTACCACTTATTGATACAGTAATGAAATAAATCGTTTAATATTCTCTTACCTAAACGACAAATTATTTATGTAAAACCTGTATACGCGAGCTACGCCGCGGGCACAGCTAGTAAATAATAAATAAACAAGAATAACATCCATCATTATTTTATCAACCTCACTCCAGTATCCTGATATCTCATGATAGTGCCTAAATTGGACAATAGTTTCTAAGATGCTAGATGTAAAACTCTTAGAAAATTTGATTTAAACTCTTGTAAAATATAAATGATATTCAGTTTCTAGCAATGCTATCAAATGATACCAAGTTGTCGTAGCTGTAAAATAAAAAGTTAAATCTTAAACACAACCTGTATTATAATAATAAATATATTAATATTAATATAACATTGCACTTACTATTCCTTGTCTTTCTCTTTCTTTTTGCAGGACAAGTTCAGTTTGCGAATCATTAAACTTAACTACGGCTGCTAACACTTTTGCTAAAGTTAAGGAATGTGTTCCAGAACCAGTTAAATATTCATAAAGAATATTTCGTAAATATTCTAATTCTGTATTTTCTTGTAGTGAATGTAAATGTCTTAAGCTAACCAGAGCTTCATCCAAACTCCTTCCTAGTTTTTCATTTGAGAGCCTTAATTTTTCATTATTAACTTGCATTTCTTGCATATTATTATTTATTGACAAATTCATATGTTCCAATTCTTTAACTCTTATTTCTAGATTCTTTTTACTATCTACAGCACTGTCATACATTTTCTTAATATTGACAATATTCTCATTACCCTCGGTCGGCTCAAGAAGTGAGGATGGTTTATGAGTACTTTGAAAATTAATTTGATCTTTCAGTTCCAAATTTTCTTCTACTAGTAATGTATGTTCTCTTATTAAATTGTCTATTTTATCTTTTCCGGACTGAATTTCATTTTTAAGTGTTTCTATGTCATACTGTGATACCTCACTTTGATCTGCGAAAATGTCATTTGACGTAATAACTTCTCTCAACTTATCATTTAAAAGGCTATTATCTTTTGAAATTTTCGCTAAGTATGTTTGTAGCCCTTCAATGTCAGAACGTAGGCGTCTGTTTTCTTCTTTGAGTAATGTATAATCATGATTTATAGAACTAGTTTCTAAATTATCTGGATCAATTTTATAATGTAACTCAACGTTGTTAGTTTGAACACTACTATCTGTTGTTATTTTTTCCTCAGTCGCTCTGTCACTTTCTTTTTTTTCTATTATAGAATTCAAACTATTGTTCTCCTTTTCAATCTCACTATGTGAATCACGTATCTGTTTCATTTCGTTTTCAAATATGTTTATATTGCTTAAATTAGTTTCCAATTGAATTTTAAGAGTTTCATTTTCTTTTCTTAATAATATTAATTCTTTTTCTAGCTCTTGTGTACGTAAAATATTTACTTCGTGATCATCTACTTTTTTCTTTAAATCTACATTTTCTTGCTGTAAAGCTTCAATGTGGTTTAAGTCATGCTCTTTTTGTGTCTTTATAATATTCACTTTTTCTTGCAAGTATACATTGCTGTCTTTAATTTTGTTTAATTCATTAAGAATTGTTTCATTTTCAGAGCTCTCTTCTGTCATTATTTTAATTTTACTATTTAGCTCTTGATTCTCAGTTTCTAGTAAGTTATTTTTTGTTTTTAATTGGCATATTTGGTTTTGTAAAGTTTTGTAATCGGTTTCTATTGCAGCTTTAGCATCTTCAATTAAAATTATTTTATCTTCTAAAGTGCTTCGTTCCTTATTCATTTCACGGGTTTTTATTTCTATATCTTTAATTTTGTCAATCAAATTTTGATATTGCACTGCAGATTCACAATTTAGTTTTTCTAAATGTTTTACTTCATTAAGCATTTTTTCATTTTCTCTTCTTAGTTGAACAGACAACTCTTCATTATCGTTCATTTTCGTTGTTAAATTTTTTATTTGTATATGAAGATCACCATTTGCGTTTTCAATTAGTTTATTATTTTCAAGTAATTGCGTGTTTTCCCTTTCTAAACTAATTTTATCTTGTTCATATTCTTCAATCTTTAGTTTTAAGATATGCAATTCCTTGTCTGTTGTTAGTTTTACTTCTTCACATATTTTCAATTTATCCAATAATTCCTCGATTTCTTTTGACATTTTAATACAATTTAATTCAGAAGTTACATTTAATTTTATTTTTGCTTCCAAATCCTTGATTTTTTGGTATAATTCTGTATTTTCTTCTTCTTTATGCTTAAGTTTTTCAGCTAATGTGGTTTTTTCATTGGTTACAAATTGTAGTGAATCGTTTAAATTTTTATTTTCATTCTTTAAATCAAACATTTTTTCCAACAAAAGATTATGTTGCTCTAGATTGTTCTCTAATGTTTGTTTTATTTTATCATGTTCTATTATTTCTTGTTGCAATTTTATTTGTAGATCATCAAATTCATTTATTTTCAATTGTAGACTTGAAGTAACATCATTTAATTGTTTTGTTAATAGCTCATTATTATATTTCAGTTGACTGCAATGTTCGTTACTTTTATTTAGTGTTATACTTATTAATGTTTTAAGTCCTTCCTTAAAAGTCTCATTTATATCATAACTAACTTCGTCAACAGACAATTTTGTTTCTTGTCTTATGGAATGGACATTTTCTCGAAAAACCTTTACTTTATTCAATATGCTATTATAAAATGATTTCATTTGTTGATATTGTTCTTCTAGCATGTTATTTTTAGAATCCAAATCTGACAATTGTGTATGTAATTGGAGGTTTTCATTCTGTAGTGATTCATGATCACAAAGAAGCTTTTCAATATTTTTTTGTATTTCCAATAATTCCTCGCGCTTTTCTTGTATTTCAGACTCCAACTGCATATATTTTGTTTTCCAGGTGTTCACTTCATCTTTTATTTCTGGATTTTCACTGTGATTATCTAACATAGAAACATTTTGGGATTCTTTGTTATTCAAAAGTAACTTAATTTCACTTTCTAATTTATTAATTTGTGAACTTTTTTTTAAACTTTCCTCAGAAAGCTGAGTGTTTCTATTTTCTAAATAGAGATTTCTATCTATCATTGCAAGTTTCTCTGCAGTCTCTTGCTTTAATTGTAACTGTAAACATTTATATTCTTCATCTAATTTTAATTTAGAACTTTCTAGCAACTGATATTTTTTTGTTGAATCGTCTAATTGCTGTTCTAATTGTTTTATTTTGATTTTAGCCAAATTATATTCATTTACATTGTTATTAAATCTGGATCGCTCCTCTTCTAATAGAGAATGATTTTTTTTATAATCACTTATAACAATATTCAAAGACTGAATTTCATTTTGAGCACTAGTCAAATTGTCTTTAAGAGATTTTATTTCAGCTTCTTTATTCTCAAGCTCTTTATGTATGCTTAATTTATTTTCTGCTAATGAAATAGCATATTCTTCCTCCCTCTTACTTAAAACTTCAATTTTATTCTTTAACTGTATTATTTCATTATTAGCTTGATCAAGGTCTAGTTTTAGGACGGAAATTTCTTTATTTTTTCCAAATTCAAAAGCAGTATGTTTGCTTTGCAAATCTTCAATAAAATTATTTAAATCATCTATTCTTTGTTTGGCGTCAATTAATGACATGTTTACAGCTTTCAACTGATCAATTTCTTTTTTTTTACTTTCTAAATCAGCAGACAAAATTTGTTGCTCAGCCATTATTTGTGCATTCTTTTCTTTACATATCTTGAGAGACTCTTTATATTTGTTCAATAACTCTTCCATTTTCGATATTTTATTATTAAGAATAGAAACTTCTGACGTTATTATTGATTCGTTCTTATTTTCTTGCTTTTCTTCAATAGTTAAATCAATTAATTGTGAGTGATCATCACTTTCATTATTTTTTTTGCTAACCGGATCTAATATATCATTATCAAGTTTTGTGTTGTTTTGTATAAGCTTAAGTTTGGTATTTAATGTGTCTATTTTTATATTTTTTTCTTCTATTTCATCACGCATAGCTTTTTCAAGATGGGCCTGCAAATTTATAGGATATATTAAATAACTCAAAAAATAAAGTTGATTAGAATGATTATCCAACTGCATTATGTATATTAAATTTGTTAACTGTTTCCTATCATTGAGGAGATGACCGTGTAGGGGGTGTAAGAATATTAACTACTCATCATCCCGCGGGTGTCGTAAAAGGCGACCCGTAATAATATTCTCTCTCTATACCTTTCAAACTGGAACACAGGAGTGTTCCATTGTCCAGTTAAAAATAAAGACAAAGACAGTATATACAAAAGTAAATACAACCAGATAGAAATAAACTGCGTTTGCCAAGCGTGGCGTCTATGGACAGTATTCCCTTATGAGGCAATCTATAGTGAAGTCTTATGATCAGAAATGAACTTTGATAGGCCGTAATGAATGAATATTTATACCCAGTGTTTCCATCAAGTCAGCGTGTATATTTTTAGGAGATATTTTTGTCAAAAAAAGGTGCATTATTAGTGGGATAGAGTTAAAGTAAAACAATTAATAAAAACTTACAATAACAAGTATACATAATTAATTTAACTGTAAAAAAAAAAACTCTTTAAACATTCACATTTTAACCACGACCTTTCTGTACTCGTTGTACGATATGGGTGGTGCAAAAACTTCTCGATAAATATAAATATCGTTAACACAAAGATATTAAGATACCTCATAACAAAAATATCAAATAAACTACACAACACAGACTATTGAACAAGGAACATTTGCAATCACACAATATTAAGTAGTAATTATTTGTTGGCAACATTTTAAAATTCTTTGGCGACAATTTTTAATCTGTGAGACTATTTGACCTCCGACTACTCGGGGTTTTGGCGGGAACTTGAACGGTGGAGGATTGCTGTTCTTGTATTATTGTTTAAATAATGGTTTGAAGTGGATTTTGATATGTAAAAGTGGTGCGATTTTGTGTATAAGTGTCTGCGCATGTGAACTATTAGTGGAAACGGTGAAACAAATGTTCTGATGGTGATGTGATTCTCAAGATCAGATGTCTGTCTGTGTAGGCGTCTTGACATACCATCGCCAACTGTCAGCTGTCTGCTGGCTCAAGTTGCCGTCAAAATCTCCCAAGGGCTGCACGCATCAACATATTGTGAAGCAGTTTACTATGAAGGATAATTATACATTGTAACTTCAGGCTTAGAAGGGCTAAAACCCAGAGCCGTAAAGCCAGTTTAAAAAAATCAGACTACTCATAATCACAAAGTTAAATCAGTAAATAAGCAAACGACAAGTCTGTCAATATCAAACATAATATAGTCATATTATGTTTGATATTGACAGTATGAACGTAAACAATGAATGTTTTCTTTTATTATATTTAATTTTTTCATATATGTATTTAGTATAAAAATATTACTTTTCTGGACTCCTTCACACACACAATTCTCACTATTCAGTGTGCGCAATATGCTCAAAAAGGGGGTACTAAGTTTTCCTTTCATATATTGAAATATAGATAAAGTAGTTAATTCTAAAAATACCTTTGCACCTTGTTCCAATGTACATTGCTCTCTTAGCTCTGATATTCTCCTCAAAGCCTTGTCTTGAGTTTCAACTAAAACATTCTGGAAAAAGCAAAGTTCTCATATCTTACATTTATTTGTTTGTGATAAAGTTTCTATAATACAAATAAAAATGATTTACGTTCATATTCGTAATAATACATTATGCCACTAAAAACAAAAATGTGAAAAAGAAGCAAAGTTCGGTACAAACGACGTTTGGGGCTGTCGGCTATAAAAGTTGAGATCTGAATGAATAGATTTAAGGAACTGTTATTGAACTTGGCACCCGTTTAGATCTGTTATCGGCGAAGCCAACAACCTCGAATAAAGTTTGTACAGAATTTGTCTTGAATTTTTAGACCTAGGAATGCTTCCATGTTTTATTTGCGTTTACTAGTATACGCTTAATGATCTATCTTGATGGCGAATTTCAATTTCAAAGAGTGAGTGAGAGTGATAGAAATGGTACATTTCACTCGTGTCGTCAGAGTCGAAGACATGATATATATTTTCGGCATGGGCATAACTATGTACTAGAGAAGCATTCTAAACAAAAAATGTGCACTACTCTATGTCTTCGCGCATGCGCGGGAGATAGTAGGGTCGCGCATGCGCAGTTGTTTTTAATTTAAACTTTAATTTGAAATCTTGTATTATTAGCGCCGCTCCACACTGCATGTATATTGAAACCACAGACTAACTAGTAGATTGAAACCACACTAAATGACACACTGTACGGATTTCAGTAAACTGTGCCAACTGCAAGTGTATATTTTTACGTATTCGATCCCGAGAAAGTTAACTACAATTTGTATGGAATAAATCAGCGCCAACTAGTGGTAACAATCGAACTCACCATCGAGCATTGACTCTCACTCGACAATAAGAACGTTAACGCACGTGATTGGTTGGAGCGGCAATTTCGATCGTTCGAGACTTCAAAAACTTTTTACGAACTTTTAAAACTTTACGCCGTCTATATCGAAAAAGTTTTCACCTAAATTTTTACAGTGAGATAGAAGAGTGAGAATAATTGTTGAAGAGTTAATTTTATTTCGTTTTGTGAGAACGATATATAATTTAGGCAGGACGTTTTTTTTCGTTAGGAGGATGTTTGCAGCCACAAAGGCATTACTAACTAATAATAATAGATGACTGGTATTATAACGCCAGTATTGAAGCAAGAGCTTGTGCATATTTTAGTCAGTTGTTACACCCCGATGACAGGTAATTTAAGGATAGACGTCGCCTTTTCCAAGAAAGTATTCAAGTTTTTGTGTAAATAGCGTTTGATAAATCCAAGTTCCTACTATCACTATTTAATAATTAAGTCAGTAGTAAGTAAGTATCATAAGTTTACTTAACACTAAGTAACTAAATTCCATTTACTGCTCCATAAATGTCACCATAAAATCATATTAGAACGAAAACATCTTCATGTTTTTTGCTTTCAATTTAATACTTTCCATAATTAACATTAAAATAAAATGACTAATTCACAATCTCATAATACTAACACAAACTGTCGAATCCTTGATCAAATTACGAAACATAAACAAATAGCTAATAATGAATTGTGATTCCGATTATTGCCACTAGTTGGCGCTGATTTTATTCTATACAAATCGTAGTTAACTTTCTCGGGATTGAATACGTAAAAATATAACCTCGCACTAGGCACACAGTTCAGTTGAACATAGTGTATGTTTGGAATGCGAAATCTAGTACTACATAATAGATTTCGTACTACATATATATCGATGGACATGGGTAATACACAGGTCAGATGGGTAATACAGAGGTCTAGACTTCCCGTAGTATAACCATGACGTTTATACCAGACCTAAAATACCCAGGCCGGCGCTAATGCAACGTAAAATGTGCGAAACGTTTGGCAATGCAATCACCAATCCTCTGTTCGCAAAATGTGGATGTGAATGATCTGTGATTGATAGAAAACCTTCTCTACAAAAATTAAAAAAGAGGTAAGTAATAAAGAATACATTTTAGATTATAAAAATACATTTTTACATACCCTTGCTTTTGCGTTTTCTCTCTCTAGCAGTTTATAATGTCGGGCTAAATCGGCATATTGGGTTTTATATTTTCTGCAGCGATCTTGCGTTCTTTTGTAAGCAGCATATAGCTGGTCTTTTGTGACTCTGTCTAAATTTACTGTGCCTCCACTAAAACCCTTTTCTTCTGCTTCACTAGCAGAAACATCCATGTCAGACTAAAATAGTAAGAAACTATGCAAATATTCTTTCCTATACTATAAAAGATTATTATATATATAATACTACTTTCGATATCTTTGAACGGCAGCCCGTGCTGCATGTATTGCCATGTAATTGTCCCCATTTAATTTTTCTTGTGGAGCTTATACTCACTGCATATAAAAATCAGAAAAAGGTCGCATACTTTGTACCAGAACCACTGTCGCCAAACTCACACATTCGCATGAAAGAAATGTGTATTGCCTGTTGTGCATCATATTAATAATTTTCGCGTTTGGCTGATCATGTTTCTTATCATTCACTTAAGTATGCACAATAAGTTCTAAAAATAGAGATCATATTCCTTTTCGTCAAGGAAGATTACAAAATTAACTATCAAATTCAGCTTGTTTAACGTTAGATGTCGCAGAAATTTGAAAACGCACCATAATTTCTTACTACACACATCAGTCTTTATCCAAAAAGTTTCTGAGAAAATTTGCTACTCGACGCTACATGTCGCAATAATAACTTTATACAATAAGCACAATCGACATTACGTTTGACTTTGCAGTACTTAACCTGCTGCTGCCACCGATCGATATTCAATCGATGTTAAAGTATAGGAAAATATGTATAATATAATAAAATGAGTAAAATAGCAAAATTTAATGAAAATTTATAGCGGAACGCTATTTTCATATTTTACGCGCGAAATTGTTCAGGCGCGAATAAGTATAGGGGAACCTTGGAAGCTGATACTGCGCGTTACGGCGGCTCTTCACGTTGGCCAACATACTGGCGAATGTGTTGGCCAACAACGATGGCCATCGTGTAGAGCGGGTGTTTAAGCTACGTTGGTATGTATTGGAACAATGGCCCACAAGTTGGCGCGAGATCCGTGTGGTGTCGGTTTTTTGCAAAAGATCAAAGGGTTGTGGCAGAGTATTGGCCGTCGCGTCCACACGTTGGGCGCACGTTCAGTTTGCTACGAGCTCCCAAAGTGATCGCACGCACCTTATTTAAATTTTATATGTACGTATCGTAGGTAACTAGTGTCTACATAATGGCAGTAACAATGACCATTGAAAAAACTTTTCTCTTTATAGAGCCCTACCAAGCCGGAAATTGTTTGTGAAACATAAGTTTTTCAAGTCTTTTTTTATATAAATGTTACCCCCACACTAGGATTTATCGTGGAGGCAGTTTACAAACATAAATTGCATAAGCAATTATTTGCAGGCCATACAAATACTTGTTCCGTGCGGGATTCGAACCCGCGGCCCCCAACGAAGCAACTCATTGTTAAGCCACTACGCCACGGAGTCGTCAAGAAATAAAATTTCTTTTTTTCCATTTCTTTTCGATCACCCTTTTCTTATACACATTCACGTTATAGTGGTATGCTGTTAATAAATAAACCGCAGCAGCCGTTAGCGCATCAATAAACATTTTAATAAATTCGTCCGCACATTGGCCTGAACCAAAGCAAACTGAACGACCTTCCAACGTGTGGACGCGATCACAAATTCTTGGCCAATATCTCTGCCAACACATTCGCCACTATGTTAGCCAACGTGAAGAGCCGCCATTAGGTACTTCGACGCGCCCGAGTTAGTATCCCGCTAGAGGCGTATGGAAGTTGAACATTATATTAGAGTAAAAGGTGGTACGAGGGTGCGTTTAAAAGTTCGCGTAATGGGTAGGTAGGTAATAAGTGGGAACGTCGCTGAATTACGTGCTACTTGAGCAACTTATTATTAGTATAAATACTGGGTTTTATTATAATTAGATCATTAGTCTTTTAGTTATCGTCAACCAAACAAGTCAATCGGGAAGAAATTGTGAAATATGGAGAAAATCAAGTTCCGCGCCGTTTATAAAGTTCCTTATCAAGCGCCGAAAATCAGTTCAGACTATACTGAAAGAGATGTCATCTGTTTACGGAGACTCTTGTCCAAGTTAGTCCAACTATGGTTTACAAGTGGCATTACCCTTTTTAAACAAGGCAGGGAGTCACTTGAAGACGACCCAGGGCCAGGAATTATATTGATGATGATGAGAAATGGTTGAAGTATCAGATACAACCATTTTCAAAAGTATTCATGACCATCTTGACATGACTAAAGTCAACGCAAGATGGGTGCCTAGAATGCTCACGCCGCCTTAAAAGCAACAGCGCGTGGAGTGTTCTCGTGTATTTTCGGACCTCTGTATGGAAGACAAAGATGGAATGTTGTTACTGGTAACGAAACTTGGGTTCATCATTGTGAGCCTGAGTCCGAACAGGACTCTATGCAGTGGCACAAAAAGGCACACCACCACCCCAGAAATTTAAGGTGGCACAATTGGCTGGGAAAATCATGGCGACAGTGTTTTGGGACTCAGAAGGAATCCTATTGATTAATTATAAAGATAAAGGTGTCTCCATAATCGGAAATTACTACGCTTCAATCCTAGAACAATTGAAGGAAGCCATAAAGGAGAAAAGAAGGGGAAAATTGACCAAAGGAATCCTTCTTCTGCACGACAACGCGCCTGTTCACAAGTGTCATGTTGCGGCGGCTACCCTGCAGAAGGTGGGCTTCGAAATTTTGCCACATCCACTCTATAGTCCTGACCTGGCCCCCAGTGATTATTATCTAAGTATTTTTAAAAAGAACTTCGTGGGAAAAAGTTTTTAAGTGATGAAGAAATGAAGGAAGCAGTTTCGGCGTATTTTTTAGACAAAGACAAATAATTTTTTTAAGGGTATACATAAGTTAATTGAAAGATCCGAAAAATGTATTAGGGTAGCAGGTGAATATATTGAAAAGAAAAAATAAATTTGGATTTTTATTTCCACTCCTTACCCCCATTCCGCGAACTTAAAAACGCAGCCTCGTACATACGTGTTGTGCTAGGGATTGTTTTACAATGTATAAAGTTTTCATTAAACGTGTAGAACACAATAGTATTCGTTTCATGTATTTAATAAGAAAACCCTTCAAAGTTACAAATTTCTTTAATAAAATACTTAAATATCTATATCGGTCATTGATGGAAATATATTAATTGTAAGTTAAATTATCATTTTGGTGCAATGGAAACGAGGGGAATACGATAACTGACTACCAAATAAACTACTAAATATGATAACTGTTAAGATCACTTTTATTTCAGCTTCTTTCTAAAAGCCATGAGTAATGCTAAACTTCTTACTTACTACGTACAACACTATCGCAACACTTTTATTAAAATCGTATTGACAGATAAACTTTGCAGAAACGAAATAAGGTTGAATATTGGTTATAATAAAGGCAATTTCATATGTTCTCCATGTTAATTCACGTTTATATAAAAATACACCTTTACCTGTGTAAATATTATAATTGAACGTGTTTCGGACCACAGGTACGAAACACCTTCAATTGTAATATTTTTCTTTCTTCCCTCGTCTTTACATTCTAATATTGCACAAAACAGAATATTTGCGCATATTTCAATTAAGCAGCGACCCGTTAGTTCGCGACAATTTAAGCCTGCGACTGACAGTTGATTAGGCAGTAATGCAACTCTTTGGGGCATGCCTATCCCACCAACTTTAAGCTTTTCGTTTTTTATATTTCGTGATCACACTCTCTCACTCACTCCCTTACACACCCACACACGCACGCACGTCCACACGCAAGCACGTACTCACATTATATAACTTTAGAAGAACAAACCTGAAGATGGTACATAGAAGGACTCTCATATGTTGGTAATCTAAATGATATATCACTTGCAAATGAGCTGTTAGACAATCTTCTTTGCCTTGTAGTTTCCTAAAATAATAACACCATTTACAGTTTAATAATTTAAAAATATACTAAAATAAAAATACTAGACGGGATGTTAATGGGGGAGAGGGGAAGATTAAATAGACTACCTTTAAATTACTTTTTAATACAAGGGAAATCATCATGGATAAAACATACACCATATAATTATGATAAGAAATCATAATACGCGATGCTTTGGTATGTACAAAATAGATATACATATTTAGCATTTTTAAATACATTATTTATTTATTTATAAATAGTTATACATATATACACAAAACCACCACTCTCCATAGCATGGTAGCGGAATATAATAGTAGACTATCTCGGAAGGTACCAGTATTCCGCTCAATACTAACTAAACTGCTCGGGACAAAGAGAACAAGACCAACATATACCACGGCGCACCATGCCGCGCTAGCCATGAATTTCTGCAAAATTAGGGAATTTCACTCAAACCTTATTACCGTCTACTATCTGAAGACGGCGAGCCCGATCTAGCTTTTGCTTATCGAGATGCAAGTATCTTCCCCGGCAGATACCTCGTATCTTTCCTACCCGGGGTACAAGTTAGAACACTCCTTTATGCCTCGGACCGGAGTTTGCATATATGTTAGAGAGGATATCCGTTCTCGACTCCTGAGCAGTCTTGAAGGTCACTGTTCATCCTTTGGGTACGCATATACAGCGACGACCATCCCCGCGTCTACCGGGTGCCTTCCTAGGTCGCACAGCCTTCGATACAGACCGATAGCTACAGATACCGTGCTACAATAGATCACATTCGTAGAGGTCATGATCCTTGGCAATTTCAACGCCCTCCACACCGAATGGATTAGTTCTCGTCCAACCGATCATGTGGGAAAATGTCTTCGAATTTGCATTGGCATATGTTCTGACACAACTGGTTACTTCGACCACAAGTTGCAGGTGTAGAGAATCGTGCACTTTACCTGTTGGGCCTTCTGCCGACCTCCTATCCGGACGGATATGAGGTCTCCAACGATGCCCATCGTCATGCCAATGTCTGATTCGTGGTATGGTGTCACTTACGCTTCCATTGCAGTTGCGTTCAGCAGGCTCCCACTGTGTATGGTACTATAGGTTGGCATCTGCATTTTGATTCTTTATTGGGGATAGATGTAAATGTCTATGGGTCACAACAACCACTTACCACCGGGTGGACTGTGCACTCGTTTGTTACCCTATCCTATAAAAAAAAACATAATCTGTCTGCTCATCGGAGGCAGACCCCATTCAAGTCATGATTTGGTCGCTCCTGTAAAACTGTATTATGCTAAAAACAGAAATATCACCATGACGTCACGGAATGCAAACGCCAACGCTCTTGATTATAACTATAGTTCCGCATCTAGGACCTTCAAAAGAATTAAAAGTTATTTTTATTGCCAAGGCAAAATCAGAGCACATCGGCATAATTGCCGTGAAACTAATTCGCTTTCTTTCAGGAACCGTGCATTCTGGTCTATGTCTGTCTAAGGAAACTTCCGTTAGCCATCACTTACATCTTTGTACAAGGAGGACGACTCACTTCACCATGCCGTAAAGAAAATACTAATTTTATAGGGTCTCTCTATGCGTACAATTCAACTCTCAATGACAGATGCCCAATTACGACGATTCGAAATACACAGCCGACCATCCCTCAGTATTAGTACCCCGAACCGGAAAATCGGTACACAGTGTTCAGTGCGCAAAGCAAAGCTCCTCTCCCTGAACGTCAACAAGTCGAGTGGGCCTGATGGAATCCCCTCTTGTGCTACAAGACGTATGCTTTGGCGATGGCCCCGGTTTTAACGCGTATTTTCCGGTACTCCCTGGACATAGTCTCGAAATCAGACCATTCTAACTGCAGGCCTAACGCGATATCCTCCTTGTTCTACAAAATAATGGAACCTGTCGAGTGTCACTTAAAAGTATGAACTTAAATATGTATATCACTAATATTTTTTTTTCTACTTTGTTTAAATGAGTATTAGAATTAGCAAATCTTTTAAAGTTTATTGATTTTATTTGATGCGCTTGGATGCGGTTTTTGTCTTTATTTGTCTTCATTTCTGATATAGCATATATATGTTCAGTTGGGTGTCACATTGTCGTACAAGGCTTGATATTTTCGTATAAGGCGCTCGCAAAAAAGGCATTGCAATTGGGTTTCTTATTTTTAAAATGAGTAAATGCTTTTTAGTAATATGTATAGTATATTTTATTTGAAAGTAAATTTAAAAAAAAAAAAGCTTTTTTTATTTGAATGGATTATTTCGCGAGGAATAGATTGAGACATAAGATAATTTTAGTTTTAGTGTTTAATAAATTTATTGTTATAAAATAATATAGTTTAGCTGTAATAAAAAAGTTTAGGTTATTGCATCTATATAGACTTATTGCATCTATATAGACTTATTGCAGCTGAAGTATATAATTTACGAGTATAATTTATTTGCAGTATAACTAACTTCAAATAACTTTCCAAGCAATTAATATTGAGTAAAATACATACATGGAAAACAAATAGATAGGTACATATTTAAGTCCCCTTTCGCTCTATAGATAGACCCCCCCTCTCCTCCTCATTCTTTATTAATTAAAATAAAAATCATTACCTCATGACTGAATGAAGTGTTTGGTATTTCAGACCCAGAAAGCAAGGATCCTTGCTGTACCTCAAGAGATACCTCATGAATTGTATTTATTTTACTGCTATTAGATGATTCTGGACTTCTGTTGGTACTATCTGAAATAACAAAGCTGATTAAATAAATAATATAAGCATAATTTTATCTACATATTAGTATATGACTTATTAACAAATAAGTGTATCTTAATTAGTTGACAAGTTTTGATATTTGAAATGACAGTGGACATGTTCTACGTAAAGTTACAGCTTACATACATCCCACTCCTGGGTACAGGCCTCCTTTTATTTCTGAGAGGATTTTAGCGCAAGGAAGTATTCATCGCGCTCCTCCAATGCGTGTTGTCAGACTTCACATGTCTTCAAAATATTTTTTAAATTTGTGGAAAATACATGTCCCAGAAAATAAACGCTTGTCACCCTAATCATACAAAAAAATAAGGTTTTATTTGTAGGATTAGTGTGACAAGCGAACACACAGTCCACCTGATGCTAAGTGCTTGCTGTGGCCCATAGACATCTACATCTATTCTCATTTGCGAAACAAAATACAGATGCGTTGTCAGTCGTGAGGACTAAGATGGAATGCCTCTTTTCCAGTAAAAAGGGTCGCCGGTTTTCTACACTCACCATACGAAACACAGCAGCATTAAGCTGTTATTTTATGCTGGTATTCTGTGAGAGCGTGGTCCTTCCCCGGTTGAGCCGACCCATTCGTGCTACAACTATACAATTAATATAGCTGCAGCATTGCTCTACTACGTGTAAACCATGCATCTTCAACCGAGCATGCGGTAAGTCACCACTTAAAATTACAGTTTTTCATTGGAGCCGGTGGGGATCGAACACGGGTTGCTCGGGTGACGGTGTGGCAAGAATTTATCCCCTGATCTACACCGGCTTTTATTTTACGTAAGATTTTATAAAATTTTCAATTTTTATCATATTATATATAACTATTAAACTTCACTATCTACCATATCTATATGCACCAATATCTCAATGATTTTTATGCAATTATGACAGTATTCTTTTTTCTGAAAGATGTTCAATATTCGGCCTACACTTACAAACTTACAAACACAGGAAACCTGGTTTCGAGGTTTAGACTAATATTGTTAAAAAGATGTTTGTTGTCCAGTGGCCTAAGAGGTGCCGCTGCAGAGTAAAATAGACAAATTGATTTTGTGATTACACAAAAATCTACAATTGACCAATGGAATACAGTTCTGGGTGCAAATTCCTAAAACTTGTGATAGAGACCAGCACTATCAATGCAAGGAAATGGGCTCAGCGAACACCTGAGGCAAATTATTTAACTTTTGATAGCTGGCACATTCTTAGGAAGACATAAGACTAGTGCTTGGCTAGTAATGTCTGATGGCAGGCATTACTTAACAGGGTGCACTGCATTTAAGAAAAGAGGTGGCATATTCCCTTTTATATATATACCATATGTATTAGTGTGGTTACATATAGGTCCAGCTGGATATCCCTATGGTATGAAATAGGGTCAGATTCTTTTACGCAGCTACACATCACCTTATTATTTATAATGTCTCATCTTATAAATGTAGATGCTTTTATTACTTGAAGGGTGTGATTTAGATTTTTTTTTGACTACAGGTAAGTCATTTTAATAGTTAGCAAACTGTGTTTAAAATTAGCTAATTTACACAAATCTGAGACAGACAAACTACTCTGTGACAGGAATCAAGAAAAGAGCCTACTCCTTTTTAAAAGGCCGGCAACGCATCTGCAATTCCCCTGGTGTTGCAGTTGTTCATGGGCGGCGATAGTCACTTACCATCAGGTGAGCCGCATGCTCGTTTGCCCCCTCTCCTATAAAAAAAAGGAATATGTCTACTACATATTTCTGACTTTTAAAAGGGAATAAATGCTACGTAATTATTTTCTTTTGCCTCATATTAATTTCTTATAAGTATTTTAATGCTACCACTGTACATCACCAAAACTTTGTATGTGCAGCACTTTAAGTAACTTTTCCGCTAATTTCTACCTGATAAATCAAATTGATTTTCTTAAACTAACAGTCACTAGTCACTAAATTTTGACACATATATTACAGCCATAGACATAGGAATTCTGGTTGCTGGAGTTATTCCATGATTCTGATTCTGTTGGAGCAATATGTTTCAATCTCGGTAAATGAAAGTCACCAATTGGTCACTATATCTTAAAATAGAAATCACATTTCAAAAGCAAACAATGGTGTTTTCGAGGGAAGACTGATTGCTCGAATTCAGGCTAGAATCCCCCAAAAAAAAGGCTGTATCTCCTAAAGTATTAAATCACAAATTTTTTTCTTAAGTCACTAATTGTCACCAATTCCTCAATAAACCTTGACATAATAAAATTTAGGGTATCGTTGGAGAGGATTATAAGCTTGACGGATTCAATAAACTTTAATGTATTATAATAAAGCTGACAAGTGACAAGTTTTATTTAATTGATGCAACTGTGCAGTACAGGCGTAATTTCATATGTTGAAAGTGCTGGCTTGGAAATTTGTGACATTTCAATATCTTGTCTTCCAATAGGTAGCAGTATAACCATTATTCAAAAACCAGAAAAATGGGAGCAGACTCAAAGGTGCTAGACATCTGGTACTACAATTACAAACTACAAATGCATTCTATTTATGAACTCATAGTCATAACATAGAGATGTACATGGAATAAATTGTAGCCTTCAGTAACAGCTTTCTAAGGAAAATAGGATGATGCAGATGATTTTTGTCTGGCACTTATTGGTTTATAATTTTGCATCATTCCAGTGATTCAATATTTAAAATTACTACTAATTTATTAAGCATAATTTACAATGAAGATTTAAAACTTGATTATAACATACCATTATCTCCAATGGAAAACAGGTCATTATTTGTAATATCAGTAATGCTGCTAGATGCTGATGTAACAACAGCCTAAAACAATAAAGATAAATAAATAAAACAGTGTTCTAAGTGATTACATAAATTAGTTGCTAGTAAAATGTAATTACTTTTCCATTACTAAATTATCAGAATGTAATATGTACCAGCTAAAAGTACAACTTTGTAATGGCTCGTGAATGCTTATAAATAACGTTTAAAAAAGAATTGTTCAGTGTTCTGCAAAAAATATATTATTGATCTTGGTCAGGCCATAGATCTGATTAAGTTGGCTTAAAACAATATCGGAACCCCTGAGTTTTTCATCAAGTTATGCTGTATATAACATGGTACTACTAGAAAGTATTTTATTTTAGTTTTCTTATAGATGGCATTAGTAATACAGTAAAAATGTAACTAATGAAAATTGTTATATCTTCTATTTTTTTAAATGTGGATAAAATAATATTTTATGATTGATAACACATCTAGACATGAATCGAAAATACTATGTCAAAGCGCAAACCTGAAAGTGTGATAGTTTATCAGTAAAGTGTACCACAAAAATGCATAGATTTTGCGATAGTGATTATGAATTTTAGCAGCAGTAGTACTTAAGTTCAGAAATTAAAGTATATGAAAACATACATATACTCAAGTAATGATTTCCAAAATTCAGTAATCAAATACTAAACTGAGTATTAAAATTGTAACATTGTCATTGCTTATAAACATTATAACATAAAGATTTATTACAGATTTTTATATTTTTGTTTTTAATTTGATATTGATCAAAAATAAAACAAATGTGTGTTTTGTTGCATTATTTTATTTTGGATATTTTTAGGAAATTAGAAACTTTAGGGTACTCAAATCAAATACAGTGTTAAAGTACCTGACTGGAATCGGATGCTAGATTCAAGTCAGTGACTCAAGTATATGTATATGATATGATATATCAAGTATATGAATACCAGCGTAAAATAGCAGCTTAACGCTGCTGTTTCGTTTCGTGAATGTAGAGAACCGGAGACCCTTTTTACGGGGAACGAGGCATTCCATCTTAGTCCTCTTCGATGACAATGCATCTGCTTTTTGATTCGTTATTGAGGATAGATGTAGATGTCTATGGGCCACAGCAACCATTTACCATCAGGTGGACTGTGTACTCGTTTGTCACCTTATCCTATAAAAAAAAGTTATGACTCAATCCTATGAGGATAATTACTAAAGTATTTGAATACCAGAAATAGTCCACTCAGCACAAAACTAGTTAGTAGCATAGTGTTTATTCGGCTAATAGATCCTAATTGTGTATTTTACTTTTTGCAAATATGTTACTCTTGTCAGAAGTTTAGTTGCTATTAAAATATAGCAAAATTATAATTCAAGTATTTGAGGAAAGTGCCATGTGGAGGCAGAGGAAGAAAATAATGTATCACCCCATTTGGTATAGTTGGTGTAGTAAAAACATTCTAAGGGAAATGCCAGAAAAATCTTATGGATTCCAATAGATGACGGCATAACCATCTTGTTTACACTGGATGGAAAAAAACTCAAACTGGCAACAGGTAAGGTTGTTAAAGTAATGAAAGAACACCCATTTAACCTGCTAAATATGCTTTGTTACTTGCATCTTTGATAATTTTGAACCAGTGGTAAATTGTTAATTTTGAATTTTAACTTTGTTAATTATGAACCAGTGGTAAATAAAAAATGACTTTCTATAAGTATTATGTAATAATCAATATTGAATAAAAAATTATTCTATTCTATTCTTTTAATAACAACAATATTGAGTTGGTATTAATGAAAATAATTAAGTGTGTAAAAAAAATATTGTTACGAGCTTGAGGTTCGAGACAATTAAAAACTGCCGATTGAATTACCAAAATTGACACTTTAATTACGGATACTAATTACACTTTAAAACACACTAATAATAAAACACAATAATTCTACTAATCACTTTAGTTCGCAGTTGTTTCGCTTTGAAGTATTCTCTTATATCGCCAATTCAATACTGCCCTGGTCGTGGTCTACACCGGCTTTATATAGGGCCTCAGACAGTTTCCAGAATCTTCCAATGTAGCGACATCTAGAATGTTCGAGCACATATTGGTCCCGAAATTTCTGGAAGGATCTTGACTCTCCTAGTTCTGCTATTCTTTTTTTTTTATAGGATAAGGGTGACAAACGAGCACACAGTCCACCTGATGGTAAGTGGTTGCTGCGGCCCATAGACATCTACATTTATCCTCTATTACAAACCAAAATGTAGATGCGTTGTCACCCGTGAGGACTAAGATGGAATGCCTCATTTCCAGTAAATAGGGCCTCCGGCCACCTGCACTCACCAAGCGAAACGCAGAGGCAAACCTCTACTTCACGCTGGTTTTCTGTGAGGTCGTGGTACCACCCCGGTTCGAGCCGGCCCATCCGTGCGACAGCAAAAGCTGCCGCATGGCTCTACCACTGTTAATTCGACACTAGAGGGCGCTAGTGTAACTAGTGTTGCCATGTACAAGACATTAATAGTGGCGCGCAACACTTTCTGCTACTCGACACTAGAGGGCGCTAGTGTAACTAGTGCTGCCATGTACAAGACATTAATAGTAGCGCGCAACAATATGTATGTACTAAGTAAATAATATTTCTTTCAAAAATTTTACTGACAACTAATACAGGAAGCACTAGTCTTCTTTTGAAATAAAAATTTAATATAAAAAATGATAGGAGTATTTAAAAGTACATCAATATTTACTTTACAAAATATAATAAAAAATGAATAATTAACAGTATGTCACATTTTAGGTTTCCTTATGCAGTGGTGAATATGTTTCATATATGCATACAGAGGTATAATCATACACTAGTACCAACAAACGCAAGTAATGAAATATATTTAAGAGTACTGTTTCAGTATTTTGAGTCAGGCATTGCAGTAACAAATACATAAGCCACAGTTCTAGCCACAGACAGGATGTTTTATTGGTATCTTGTCTAGAGAAATTTAAAGGAATGTTTTCTATGATATTGGGATTATGAGTGGCAGTCAATAGCCTCAAGTGACGAGGGGAGAGGGCAAGGAGAAAACCAGTAGCATTCCAAAAAAAATTAAAGAATGAAGGTTTTGAAGTCAATTTGGCTCATGTTTAAAGCTGTGCCACAACTTAAAGTGCAGGGAGTCTTGCTTGCTTTCTCATCTTTAAATTTGGCTGCTACTACCTCCATGCCTCAGCCTCAGACTTTGCAAAAACACTTTAAGAGTAGTAGAAATCAGCTTGCCCTAAATCCTACTTGGCATGTATAAATTTTTTTTTTCAGTGACTACATTGCTAGCCTCAGTCACAACTCAAATCTCTTACAACAATTGACTGACGCTTGAGTTAAAAGGCCTAGAGCACAAGGAAACTAGTAAAGCCAGTGGATGAATGGGATATGGCCATAGATTAATGATAAGTCATCACGCGCTCTGACTAGATACCGCTGGCGCTCATGTAAAATGCGGCAACAAATACTACGCCGAAATCGGCGTACCCGAGCCAGTCGCGTTGCAGGCAACGTGTGAGGTGAACATACCGAATGTTTTATTAAATTTTGATCATAATCCGAAGTAAAATACCTATTTACGTATTGAAACTGTGTAAAAATAATACTACAAGAAATAAGAAAGACACTGGAATCACATACTATCATTAAGTATTATACAATTTCGAAATTTTAACATAAAATAACACGAGCCATAAATAAGTCACAAAATATCAATGACGCTATTCAGTGTTGCCGCGAATGCAAAAATAAACTTCCCCGTGGCTGAGATTTTTATATGTGTGTAGTGTTTGCATATATATATATGTCACAGTCTCGAGCGCCCCGCGTCAGTTACACGAGAGCCTCGGGCGAGAGTGGACGTGTTAAGTTAAGTGAGTGTCGCGCCTGTGTTACACTACAAGGATTAGAGAAGATAGCAGACATTACAAGTGGCGACGAGGAAAAAAATAAGTACCTATTTAGTATTAAGATATAATCAAAAATAGGTTAGCAATGTGCAACTATTAGCATTGCAATTGTAAATTAATTCCTAGAGTACCCACGGAAAAAAAAAGTGGATTACGAATTATGATTTATTGTTTTAACCCTGTTCTGATCATTTTAATAATTTATATAAATTATATGTTCGCATATGACCACGCTTATGGTGTGCAAAAATTTATTTTCTTTATGTAGCAATGATAAAATAGTGATTTATTTTAACATATGTCTATTAGCACAACTTTTATTTAAAAAGATTTTTGATGGAAAAATAATAGATGTTACTAAAAACTCCTCTCGATTCGAACCGAAATACAATGTCGTTAGCTAAATTTTAGTGGCATTTTACATGTAGGTGTGATATTTATCACCTTTAATGAAAATACTATTTTATTGCGTTCATGGCATATATAAGTCTTATAAAAAATCGTGGACACTTCACGACTTCTGTACATTGCATAGTAGGTAACTAGTAATACTGTAAATGCGCATTATAGGTATTGAAATTACAAAGCCTAAATGGCACAGCAATGGAAGTAGTCGGTATAACAAATAAACCGAAAGAGAAAGGCGAGTGTTATGGAACATATTATTAGCATGAAATTGAGTTTGGGTACCAAGAACCAACCATTAAATTGGTGTTGGGTACTAAGATACCATCATTAAATTGAGTTATGGTACTAAGATACCACCATTAAATTGGAGTTAGGGTACTAAGGTACCACCATTAAATTGGAGTTTGGGTACTAAGGTACTACCATTAAATTGGAGTTTGGGTACTAAGGTACTACCATTAAAGTGGAGTTTGGGTACTAAGGTACTACCATTAAATTGTAGTTTGGGTACTAAGGTACTACCATTAAATTGGAGCTTGGGTACTATAAGGTACTACCATTAAATTGGAGTTTGTGTACTAAGGTACTACCATCAAATTGGACTTTGGGTACTAAGGTAGGTACCACCATTAAATTGGACTTTGGGTACTAAGTTACTACCATTAAATTGGACTTTGGGTGCTA